ATGTGTACCCACAGCAGCACCGTGTGAGGAGGGCTGGCCCGCACAGTGACAAGCGCTGGATATTACAAAGTATGTTAAAGAAATCTCTATAATGGGAAGTGGTGGGAGAAGGACGATCACCTTTGTTTTTGTTTGAACCTTGCACAGAGCTCTAGCACAGACAAGGAGGGCAGGGAGCAGCCTTCCCTCTGGATGCTGGGAAAGGCCACTTGCTAACCTGCCAGGCTGCTGTGAGGTGAAGCAGGAATTGATGTGGGAAAGACCAGGATGACAAGGTTGGACACACACTAGGAATTAGTTCATTTTATTTCCTTTCATTCAGTTTGAACCTTACCGCCATTTAGCTGTGAACCTCCAAGGGTGCTGTTAAGATGGATATGCTACAAAATGTTACCCAGTTGCATGAGCAGAATTTCCCTGTTCCAGTCCTTAGGTTTAGCATCTCTGCTTTGGGGACTGCCCACCCACATATTTCAGTGTTGGCATCACTAATACTGATGTCTTTTTCCTCAAAGGAATTGCAATGTGGAGCCAACTGCTTCTTGAGAAAAGCTCAAGATGATAGATGACAGATAGATGGGTAGATACACAGATAGTTATAGATAGATAGATAAATGATAGACAGTAGATACATAGATAAGTAGGTGAAAGAGCTGGATCTACAAACATTTCTGACTTGCACTTCGTATGAAGAAGCTTCGAGGACCAGCCAGCAGCGTTTTGCTGCAGCGTGTAGCTGATGCTCCATGGAGCAGCCAGCCGTGCTGGATGAGAAGAACAGACCCAGCGCGGACCAGGCAGCACTGGCTTACCCCCCAGGCCTGTCACGTACAAGATGACTACCTGAACATTCCCTTGACTCTGAGCTTTGCCTTCCTTATTTACAAAACAAGAGAAATAGCACCTCTCAAAGCGGAGGTGTGAAGATTGACAAAATAAACAAGCACCTCACTGAGTCTCAAACACGTGAAGAACATCACTCAGGTGTATACCTTACGGACAGATGCGACTCGACTCCGGGGGGACTCAGGTGTCTGGCTCGAGGTCACATTGCCAATTAATGACAACACTGGGACAGGAGCACAGGGCGTCTTAACTCCTGGTGAAGCGCTCACACCATCAAGCTACGTGCACTTGGGGTGCTGTTCTACATGTGAAAATCCTCTTAGCGCAGCGGGCATGTTTTGTGCCTCTGCCCTGAAACTAGCAGCTCAGAATATATCTGCAAACCACTCTTGCTGTTTCAGGACAAAAATGTATTTTAACATAATTATGTTTATGTGAAAATTTTTTAATGACTATCATTAAAGAAAACTGATAATCCAAGTTCTAATCATTATATTATAATCAACTGAAACTCCTAATCGAAATCAGATACGCCGGGAAGACCACCAGATGAAGAGTACGCACGGCTCGAGTTCTGGTTCCCCGCCCCAGGCGCCCCTGGGCTTGTGCGTCTGTGCACGTGAGGAGCTTTGCCGCCTGGCCTGCAAGCAGTGAGCGGAGATGGTGACAGTTCACTCTCCCTCCAAAACTTTTCCTTTAAAACCCAGGTCAGAATTTTACCTTGCAATGCGCTTCAATGTTTCCCTGGGGAACTGTCTCTTGGTGTTAGCCGAATTGAACACTAGATGTCACTGTATTGCAACAAAATTTGGATTTTGAATGCATTTTTCTGTGGCTGTAAATAAGGTGTTCGTTCTTTGGCGGGGAGAAAAAGAGGGGGGTGGTAGATGTCTTCAGAAAGGTTCAGTCTTTCTCAATGGTCTCTTAAATGTTCATTTGGGCAAAGTATTATAAGGTTTATTTATCATCTCTGGAGACTTATTATAAATAAACCCCGGGCATAAACACGTGCATATTTGATGTATCAGCGTTTTCAATGGTTACAGTCTAATATCCATTTTTTGTTCATGGTTTTGTGCCAAGAAGTTGGGAGCAATTTAAACTGATCTCTGTAAGGCACTGATTCCTGGGCCGTCTTTCCAGACTCCTCACCACACTGACGCTGGTCACCAGCAGCAGCCACAGGCATCTCTACTGTCTCCTCATCGTTCCCCAACCCCTTGTCAAATAAAACCAGTTTCATGGTGTAAAATATCTGGATGCATTTTGCCTTTACTGCCTGTCAGTTATTAGATCCAGTGAGTCACGGAGACCTGACCTGAGTCGCTAAAATCCTAACGAGATCCTGAGATTCTCCCCTTGCTTAGAAAATAAAGATTTTAAAAAACATGCATTGTTGTAACATCAATCTCCTAACTGGTTTCTCAGGTTCAAGTTGTTCTGTCCTCATCTCCACAGGCAAAACAAAACAAAGGAACAACACCCTCCGTCTACACTTAGAAGGCCTGTCCATGGATGAAGGATGCAGAGCCAGGCTCCAAGCTCAGGGGACCTAGGGTGGCCTCGTCACGGCCCTGCTTCCTAGTTGTCTTGGAGGCATTCTATCTGATGCCCCCAAGCCTTTGTAGGCACTGCTGCCCCTGCCAGTAAAGGCTGTAGCTCTCCCTCCAGCGGGCTATCCTGTTGCTCGCCGCCCGGCTCCATCGGTCCTTCATCTGCATGTTCCTCACCAAAGGCCCCCTTCCTGCTGGCATCCTGACTCCTAATTATGTCTTTGTATTCCTACCTTCCCTTCCGCTCATGCATACGTCAGGGGAAAGGATGATGTCACCTCCTCTTTGCTATTCTCACAGTGCTTCATAAATGGTAGGGGAGGGAATGTATAAATGACAATTTTTTTATATAGCATATAAAAATTTCCTCTAATTCTGGGTTTGTTAATCGAAATTTAACAGAATGTTAAAGTGGAAGTTTCAGTGGAGGCTCTAACAGATCAACAGATGTTATATTCCAGAAAGAGGTGCGAGATCTTGAAGCTGGATCACAACAGAACAGGGGGAAACCAACTGCGTGACTCATCAGCCGTCACCCACCTGATGGTCTGCAGGGTTTGGGAGGAGCTGGAGTGGGATTTTCCAGCGTGGGTCCTGATACCCACGAGGAAGGAGAGGCGTTCCCTCCCAGCTCCTGTGAGACACAGGGTGCGCTACGGAAATCACTCAGAAGCCTGGATGTGCGGTTTCAGTTGTGGCGGACACAGTGACCTAGCGTCTGGCTCCCTCCTGAAAGAGCGCAAGGGAGATCGGGGCAGGGTGCAGGCGGCCACCGGGAAGGCTGAGAGGAGAGGAGGTGGGTCTGTTTGGTAAAAAGAGGTGTGGTCATTCCTCCAGGACCAGGCCTGGGCTGTGACCAGGGGAGCAGATGTGTGTCGGGGCACTGCTGTCAGGGGCTCCGTAGAGGCAAGAACACCCGCTCTCTTCAGGAGCCACCTGTGCGTAGGTTCCGCGGAAGGAGATAAGGTGGCCTCAGCCCCTCACCCGCGCCTCTGAGCTTGTTCTCGCCCCTCTGCCACGGGCCCTCACCCGTTGTCCCACGGGAGGCAGGCTCGGGCCTGGGTTGGGGGCAGGAGGTCATCCTTTCTCCTGCACACTGCTCATGTCACGCTGTTCTCCCCTGCAGGGTCTGTTGAGCTTTATTTCAGTTATTTTATTTCAGTGCTTTATTTCAGTTTTTGGTTTGTCCGTGCTTCTAGAACCAGCCTCATCATTCTCCCTCTCTCAGCAGCACTCCCTCTCCAGAAGTGTGAGTCCATTCCCTAGAGGTCTTCAGAGGTCTGAGACCTCCCTCCCAGCCCCTGAGCCCCGAGCCCAGCCAGCAGCACGCTCCTGCAGGACCTGCTCAGCTCTGGGAGGGCGTTCCTCCACGCCTGCCAGGCCTCCTGCCCTGACCTCCCTCCTGCGTCGGCCAGACCTGGGGCGCTATGTCCTCCACACCCACTGCTGGCCTCGGCTGTCTGCTGTGTGTCTGAGCCATGCCCTAGATCCAATCCCCTCTATCACGATGACCATGAGTTTCTGCTTTCCTGTCAGGACCCTGCTGGATAAAAATGGAGCTACGTTTCCCAGGTCCAGAGAACTGAGGGTCTGGAGCCTCCAGGCTAAGGAGAGACTGGAGACCCCACAAAAGCACCTCGGGGGGAAAAGGTCAGCCTTACAGCCTGCGGTGCCGGAGAGAGTGAGAAGCCCCCTTCTCCCCTTCGCGGACCCTGCTGCTGGAGGGCCGTGCTAGGGGGTTGGCAGAGTGAGGGTGCAGGTGGGGCCCTGGTAGAGAGGGACTGAGAAGCCCACCATGACGGCGGGTCGAGCTGGGGATGACACCTTAGCTCAGCTCACTTCCGGGGATGGCTACTACCTGGGGCTGGACATAGCCATGATTTGACTACTATATTGCTTTTGTGTTACCAAGAAACCTGATTTTTTTTTTAACTCAGCAGTGACTAAAAAAATGTAATCACTCCCTAAATTTCATCTAGAAACAAATGGAAGAACGAGCCCACTGAGCAGGCCCAAGGGCACACGGGACACAGGCATGCTCGGCTGTTACGTGTGGGCGTGCATTCAGGGGGTAGGTGACTGCAGGCAAGCCTGTGGCTTTACAGGCGCCGGGAAGGGCACAGGGTGAGGAGGCCTGGGAGGGAGTTTCATTTCCATTTTCTGCAGCAGCCTAAACTGGTCCTAGCGCCCTGACTCCTATGCTTGTAGGGATTAGAGGACCTGGAGAATTTGCCATATAATTGCATGTCACTCACCTGCCTGTCCACACTTCGGGACTGGAAGCTCCCTGGGACAAAGGTGGTTTATGCTCACACTTATGTCTAGCAGGTGGGACTAGGCCTGACAAGTGTCAGGCCATTAATACGTAGTTGTTCAGTGATAAGATCCTTAGCAGAGGTTTGCAGGAAGAAAGAGGAGTATTACCTGATTCTGTGTGGGACCTGGGGTGGGAATCATTAACACGTGACATAGAAAGGACGCTGAGCTTGTCTTGGGGGCTGTCCAGAGAACAGGGGGAAGATGGGGAGTAGGAAACGCACCCCATTAGAGGGGAGGGCGGGGCGGCTGCCCGAGGCCAGGCCCGGGGGTGGAGGTGCAGGAGGGGGCGAGGGGACGGTGCGGATGTGCAGGCGCCGCGGGGAGGGAGGGCGCGGCACGGTCTCCAGCGGCCCCGCGCATCCCCGGGCCGCCAGGCCTGCGCGCCGGGCCGGGAGGGACAGGCGCCCGCCCCCGGGGCGCCCTCCGGAACTGTTTTCCTCCGCGGCTCTCTGAAAGCCTTATTGATTGCTCAGAGCGCACTCCTCAGCCCACGGCTTCCTCACCCCAGCAGCTTGCATTTCCTCTGACGTGGCCTCTGTCTTCTCCCCCCTGCAGCAGGCCTGGGGCTTTTACATTTCAAATGCTTGACAGCTGGGTGAACTTCTGCTTCCGCCCCGAAGAAGGACGCTTTGCGTTTCACAATGCTGCCCAGTGGCGCCGGCGCTCTTTTCTCTCCAGCTGTGAGAGAGGCTTTTTCAAGTGACTCGGAGAAGCTGCTGTCCAGCTGCGCGCCTCGCCCCCCAGGGCTCTGCATTTTAATCAGGCCGCTCACTGGTGCGCTTGTGCGGCCGCCAGGTGCGCCCCTCCCCGCCTGCAGGGGACCTTCCGGCGGCAGGTGAGCCCCCGCTGACGTCACCGCAGGTGTGCGCTCTGCCCCCAGCTCACCCAGAGCCATCTCGGGGGTCCCAACCCACAGCTGCCCTGAGCCCATCTAAGGAACAGGGCCGCTTACATAATGCTTAACGCCAGAATGCTGTGTGCACCCGGGAAAGACTGGTTTTTGTGAGGGTGAAAAAGGAACCTGGACAGATTCGGTGGGCGTCTTGATTCCATACACAGCTGCGTGACTTCTTGAGTAACCCAGCTTCTACCCACGCATCCCCTGTGCATCTCCCCCACCCCCCACCCCGTGGCCCCAGGGCTTTCGTGCACCTGTTTTTGGAGAACTTCCTGAGTTATACACCAGGACTGCTCCTGCCTCTGAATCCTATCCATCCTCCCTCCCGTCGTGGCTTACATAGTCTGGCCCTGGGCTGGCTTTGGTCTCTCACCGTGGGATTTTGCTTCTCTTTATTAAAAATAGCAATGATGCACACTCACTGAGTCTTCACTGTCAAGTGCTAACACCTTTCTCATGCATTCAGCTCATTTAGTCCCATCAACATCAAGGTTGGTATAAATTGTCCTTTTACACACAGAGCTGTGGCACAGAGACTGGCCAAGGATGGCCAGGCACTGGCAGGGCCACGTCCCCTCCACCACACTTTCTAGCGCGATTGTCCTTCGAATGGTTGACCTCCCTCCTTGTCTGGAATCTGAGGACTGGACTCTGGTATTATTTATCTTTGTGGGTCCTGCAGTGCCTAGCCTTGCAGACATAAAGGGACAAAAGGGACAGAAAAGGAGCAACCAGAAACATATTGAGCACCCACACCACAAGAACAAGCATGGTCCAAGCTTCCGGGTCAAATATCTGATGTAACCCAGCCAGCCATCCAGCAAGGAGAGTTTTAACATCTCCATTTTTTTATGGCATTTAATATTAAGGTTGTACCGGACTGTAGGTAGGGAAAATGTATTAAAGCTCCTGGTCCTTATTTCTTGCTGCTTGTACTGGTTGATTTCACGGTCCCTCCCAGTCTGTGGACGGGCACGACACTGTCTTCTTTCCCTTCCTGTCTGGTCATGATGCTTTCTCGGGCTGCTTTCATGCTTCTGAACCTTATTTACTCACCGCAACTCAGTGAGACAATTATTGTTACCCACAGTTTACAAATGAAGAATTGAGATTAAAAGAGCTAAAATGTCTATTAAAAACAGAGGTGGACACAAACTCATTCTAGTACATAGGAGGTCTCAACCTCAGAGTCCTACCTCGGCCTAGAGACATGTTATGCTTGGACCATATGATATCTCATTTTTTGCATTTACATTAATTAAAAGTATTTAAATTTTAGTTTACCTTTTTAAAGTCCAGGTTTCAAATCTCTAAAATATCCTAATATCAGATAATCTAGCAGCATTGGGCCTTTATTTCTCACATGGCAACAATTTGTTGATACCCATTAAATCCCTGACCACTACATCTTAAGGTGAGCTCTCTTGTGTACCAGCCTCCACCTCCAACCTGTTTTACTCATTCACAGTAACTGTTGTGCTCCTGAAGGTATTGACCTTGCCTGATAAAGTTTCAAGAAACACTCCACCTGTCTGTGGATCAGTCTGTGATATGAAACATCTGTCTCAAAAAACATCTGTCTGCAATGGAGACTGTCTCAAAAAGGCCTAATTCAATCAGAATCTGTGGTCCATGTCTCTTGAGCTCTGCATTGTGACACCGATTTCAAAGGTCAGGCAGGTTATTTATAGGGACCCAAGGATGGTTAAACATCAGAAGTCCCATTAATTATTAGAAAACCAAATAATCATTTTCATAGATGCAAAAAAATTACTTGATAAAATTCAATTTTCTTTCACAATACCAAGTCTTTCATGATATGAAAGAGTTGTACTAAAGGTCTCAGCCATTGTATTATGAAAAGAAAACAGGAAAGAAATGAAAGTTATTAGGAAATATGAGAGAGAAAATTGCTTTTAAATGTAATAAAAATACATTTTCACAGCAAATCCCATGTAACCTATAAAGCATAGTACTGATGAGAGACTTCATATATTCAGTTAACTTATTCAACAAAATATATTCAGTGTGAGAGGGGCTATTCTAGGCATAACAGATACAGCGATGGCATAACAGATACCTGAATGTCCCACCCTCCTGGAGCTAAGCTTTTATTTAAAAATACATTTATAATGTGCCTCATGATAAATACTCTTGTGAACAAGAAAGCATACATTGATTTACGTATTTTTTAAAAAAACATATGGTGGTTAGGGAAGGTGCCATTATTAAGACGGCATCTGAGTAGAGCCCCGAAGGAAGTAAAGAAACGAGAGGACAGCTGGGGGAGGTCATTCTAGGCTGGGGGGACGAGGAGTATGGACATTCTCACCAAGAAGCATAACCAGTATGCTGACACCAGCAAAGAAGGTAGTGAAGCAGCCTGACCGGTGGGGATGCCCGATAGGGTTGAAAAGTAACATGGGGACAGATGACATGTGCCTTGCAGCTCCTTAAGAGATCTGGCTTGTACTCTCTGAGTGCGATGGGGCTACTGGTGGTTTTTGAGTAGAGTATTCTTTGTCTCCCAGGATTGCCCCGTCTTCTTTGCTACACGCAGAGGATGCTGAGTGCGGAAGCAAGAATCAACCCAGAGGTTATTACCATAATCTAGGAGAGCAGTGCCTGTAGCTTGGACCAGAGGTAAGGCTGGGGGGGGGGGGTGATATGTGATTAACTCATGACTTTATTGAAGGATGAGCTATTGAAGGATTTGTAGTAGACTTGATATGGGTAGTACGGGAGTTTTTAGTTTAAAAATTGGAAGAAAGGAATTTCCATTTATTGAGATCCTGAAGACTGTAGAAAGGGGTAGGTTTAGGGGAGATGGGGGATCAGGAGCTCGGGTTTGCACATATTATTCGTTTTGAGAAGTAGTTAGTTTGGGCCAGACTTAGACTGTGGAAACAAAATGAAATCTCAGTGGTTTAAATCATAAGTTCATGTCTCATTGGTGCCATGCCCACTCGAGACTGGACAGTTCTCCCCCACAACTATTATTTATGCAGTGATTTGGTGATATGGCTCTGCCACTTCCCCTCATGGTCATCACAGTCGCTGCTGAAGGAAAGGGTAAGATGGGAAGGGCTGGCGAGTCTCTCACTGCCTCAGGTTGTGGGTGTGAGGTGGAGGCAGTAGTGTGTTTTCCAGAATTCCCTATAAGGTCTGAAGTAGTCATTAGCCCTTCTCTGGAGAATTAGGCACTGACGAGTCTCCTCAACATCTTTCCCCCATGAACCGCCTCGTGTAAAAGCAGCCCTCTAGCCCAGAGGAAAGTCCTCTCCCAAGCGGTGGCTCACGTCCAGTGGCCGCCAGCATGGGGGAGCAACTTACAGCCACTCTGATGGGCCACCACAGCCCCAGAAGCCCTCCCTGGGTCAGCCGAGGCCCTGTTGTAATTGTAGCTGTCCGTTTTCCCCCTGCCCAGTTCTCCTCACTCCCTTGTAAGTGAGTCCTGGAAGGAAGGCCTGGCCCTAGGAACCTCCTGCACCAAGCCTCTGACTTAGATTCCCGGGGAAACCTGACTCATAACAAGAGTTCCTATTTTTTGACAGGAAGTAGTCATGTTCTCCCACTTCAATGGATGTGGTATGTGAGAAATATGGTATGTGTGCCAGAAGACAGACACCACCCACCGGGAGCACTTACAGTGTCCAGAAGATATTCCTTTCAGGCATTGGAGAAGGGACAGAAACCGAGCAAGTGGATGTATGAGTTAGAGTTCAGGTCTGAAGTCCAGACTGAGAGAGGAATCTTGCATGATATTCAAGGACTAATACCAGGTGGCATCTTCTAATAATTAAGGGTGGATAGAGTAGAGGACAGGTGTGAGGACTGGCCTCTGGAAATTCAGACATTTAGAAATCTAGGAGATGAGAAAGAACCAGGAAAGGGGCCTGAGAAGTTAAAAATATGCAGAGTCTATGCCTTAACAACCCCTCAAAGATGCTCACACTTGTACACCAGGAAATATGTACATAAAGGGACAATGAAACCTTTCTTTTTTGGGTACAGAATAATGGAAACAACCCAACTGCCCATCAACCCAAGAAAGGAAAAATAAGTTGTGGCAAAATTGTGAAGTAGTATAGAATATAGCACTTGAAATGCATGAAATTGAGTTGCATGCATTAATATGAATAAATCTCAAAAACATAACATTGAGCAAAACAGCAGTTTTCATCATCATACATATAATACAGTACCATTTATATGAAGTTTTCAAACATTCCAGACAATACTGCATATTGTTTATGGACACACATCTGTGTGATAACAGTGTGACATGCATGTGGGAAGCTGTGCATTCTGCAATGGGGACAAGATGGGATAAGTCCGCACTGATGTGTATGTAGTCATCTGCTATTATGATGAATGCCTGACATGTTTTATATAAAAAGGTGCCTGCCTATCATGCTGTTACAGAGCACATAAAATATCAATAAAATCAGCTCATTTAGGTGTCTTTTGTAGCAGTGGATTGTAAAATCATTGATCGCTGGGCCCTTTGGTTTACTTGGCTAGTGACAAAGCATTGCCTTCATGATAGTAGTAATAACACTGATAATGATTATAATGATGTGTACCATTTTTTTCAGCCTATCTTGTGACCAGAACTGTGCTAAGCCTTTCTTATACATTATTTAACTTAATCCTCCCAATGATCCTAGAATAGAGAAATGGTTGTTACCCTCATGTTGTAAATGTCTGCAAAATAACATGTCTCACGGCTAAGAAGTTGTAGAGCCTGAATTGGACCCATCGTCACTTGAGTCCAACCAAAGAAAATGTTCTCACTTGCAATGCTTTGCCCTTCCTCTTGCAGAGTGAGGCTCAGAGCATGTGTTCTGTCGTCGTCTATTTAATGGAAGCGAGCTGGAACTGGGGGGGCTTGGAAGGGCCATTTAGAAGAGCATGTGTCTGACACGCATCCCGTTTCTCTCCTGTCTAGAGTATTGAGGCCTAAGGTGGCAATATGAACATCACCGAGTCTTTCCTAACTTCCCAGGGTGATAAACCCACTCCTGTCCCACTCTTTCCCTTCTGCACACTTCTCGGTCACAGAGGGTGACGCGATTCCCATGCTTCCTCTTCTGGGGTAATTAATTTAATTCAACTGACCCGAACTTAAAATCACAGATGGGAATGACCTCAGAGAAATTTATTTTAATACCCTTGATTTACAGATTGAAAGGAAAAGGCCAAAGAGGTTAAGAGGCTTCCTCATTACAAATAGCTTCCTTCCTTACTGGAGCTCAGGAGCTCTCGATTCCATTTACACTGTAGAATCCATGGTGAACTTCAAACAGTTCTGCTGCCCTGGCCACAGAGCCAGACCCTCTGCTTCAGTGACCCTGGAGGGGCACTTGGCCTTGACAGCTGCTTAATTTCCCGCGCACTTCTCAAGTGAAGCCGTGGCTGGGAACCTCGGCACTGATGCCCCCTTTCCCTGGTACTCTCTCCCACAGACACCTTTGATCTTGCTGGCCAGGGACCAATGACTTGGGGCCATGCCTCTCATTTTGCCAGTTGGGAAGGGACAGGTCCTGAGCAAACTGAATACTGTTTACTCTTCAAAAACCCTGAGGTCCACAGGAGATTCTATCATGTACTTTGTTCACATACAGGTCGTCTTCTGCTCTGCTAGTTTTTCTTCAGTGCATTTCTTAAGAGGTAAAGAAAATGATGAACATCGTTTTTAGCAGCTACAAACAGAATATAAATATATTTGAGAGTAATGGAAGTTTGGACTGTTCAGCTGTGCTTTTAGAGCTGTTTCAGAAGTCTGTAGATGCCTAACTAGTTGCTATAACGTCTATTTTATTTAAAGCAAGGTCATTGACCTTCTGTAAAGGGCAGATAGTAACTATTGCATTTATTCTACAAGCTGTACAGTCTCTGTTGCTTTGACTCAACTCTCTCTCTGAAGCATGAAAACACCCATAGATGTGACATAAACAAATGGGAATGATTGTACCCCAATAAAACTTTATTTAGAAAAACAAGGGGTGGGCTATAATTTGGCCTGCCAACATAGTATCTGGTGATGACCCACCTCTAACAAACGTCAAATATAATTAAAATGCATTTCTTAGATTATAGAGGGTCTCCAAACTTAAAAACTTTTCCAATGTTCTCTTAATATTTTACTCACATATCCAACAATTTCAAAGACTCTGATAAAAAGCAGAGTGTTTATTCCAGCGTCATCTGAATACATTCTACCTTTCGTGCAATTTACAAATGTTTCTCGTTCTTATTGTCATAATTTTTTTTTTTTTAATTAGCAGACGTAGGCTGCTAAACTCCACAGCAGTCAAATAATTACTTGGAAAATGGAAAGGCAGTGAGTACCAGTCATTTCATGATTTCAATTTCATGATTGCTTCATTACAGAACATCCACACATTAAACTTTCAATAGACCTGCATTATCTGAATCACAGTTTTCAGTTTCGGTCCAAACCACTGCCACTTAGGAAAACGAGGTCTTCAAACAAACCTAGAAAAGCAGTTGTTAGAATGAAAAGAATTCTTGGTGTGTTTTGAGCTTTGCTGGTAAGAGGGTGGAAGGAAAGGAAGGGCTTTCTCCTCGCTGTTCCTTCAGCTCCTAAAGGCCTATCTAAATTCTAATAGCATCTCATGGCAAGGCACGGCTCTTTCAGGAGTAGGATGAGCGAGTCTTGGGGTCCCGCTGTGACTCCCCACTGCCATCCAGCAATGACTAAAGTAACGACTCACATTTATACTAACAAAGAGCGACCACCCAAAGGTAAAGGAGCGAATGAAGCCAGGAAGCACCCCATGGGGACTGCAGTGCTGCAGGCTTGAGGGCCATTGCTCCAACACACACTGCCAGATTTGAGGGTTTTCAGGGAGCCAGTCACACATTCACTCAACCCCCACAGGCTAAAAGCAAATCAAAAACGGAAGCTGCAACATTATCAAGCAGTATCTGTAGACAGAAAGACAGCAGGGCCTTGCCTCTCCGGTCCCGCCCCAGGCTTCCGGGCAGTCCCGACCCGTGGGTGGGTGGGCCTTTGCAGGGCGCTCTGGGCTCTCAGGGGCGCGTGTTGCCTTCGTCTCCCAGCCGTCACCTCTGCTGACATGAAGGTGATCTTCATGTGTATTTTCTCTCCTGGCTGTTTTAACAAATAGAGGTTGAGGGATATTTATTTTCAGACTGAAGTTGTTATTATAATTCGATCCTTTCCTCCGTCCTCACAATTAATTGATAGAAGTGCAAAATTAGATAAAGTGAAACTATGATTTGATCCATTGAGTGATGTATAAGTCAGAGGATCTAGAGTTACAACAAACCTGGGCTTATTCTAGTTTTTTTCACTTACTAAAAATATAACTCTGGGAAATTAGCTTAACCCTTTGCACCTTGGTTTCCTCATCCAAACATAGGAGACTATTAGCACATAGCTCAAAAGATTCTGGCACAGCAGTCAAGCAATAGGGGTGTGTGCTCAGGTTGTGGCACACAGTAGTTGCTCAGTAAAGGAAGAGACGACGGTGATAGTGATGTGACAATGACCTACCTTTCTAGGAGGTGAAGTCCTCCTGTGTAGCAAAAAAGCACAATGACAAGGACAGGACAGACTGACAAAGGCAGACACTCATTTCTGAGTCTCTTTGTGCAATGATTTCAGGCTGTGGTAGAGGATGACTTTTCCAGATGACAGACACAAGCATACTCAAAGTGAAGACATTAAAACACCCACCCTGTAAATACAAGCGGTATTACTGTTCCCTTGATTTCTCCCCAGTCCAACGTCACGGATCACGAAGAAGCAAGTGTCAAACCAGTTCACTGGTTCACCTGGCAGCAGGAGTAAGAGGTTTTTCTGGTTGTTGCTTCCGTGCCAGGAGGCCACTCAGCCAGCCGGGAACTCGGTTATAGCGTTCTGACGGCTTCTAAAGCCCTATGGTCTGCTCAGCCCTCAACTCCAGAAAGATCCCCCAGAATGTCAATGTCCACTTCCTGTGAACAGTATTAAAGCACTCTCAAAGCTGAGTGCGTAAAGAGCTGTGTTGGTGCCAAAGGAAATGGGCTCTGCTTCATGGCAGTGGAAAGGGTATCATAATTAGTGATGTTTTCCACCAATAACCTTTATTTACGTATTCTTTCATTACAATGATTGTTGAGATTCTGCCATGTGCCAGACACTGTGACAGGCAGGGAGAAGGCTGGGAAATAGGGAGAGATACCCATTCACACACTAGCACTAGCATTTGAGGAGCCAGAATAATACTTGTGCTTGGCCCTCTGTTTCAATACTTGGCCTGCAATAAGTGGAGGCCTTCTTAATGCTAAAAAGCAGGTAGGGGAAACAGGGGGAAAACTCTGAAAGCAAAGGGAAGAATATTCAGGTAGGACCATGATTGAGGAAACATGCTGCAGAAATCCAGATATTAGTGAGACAAGGCGTGGGGGATTTCTCCCTGGAATAAAACTCTTCCAGATAAGGGGTTATTTGCTGTCTTTGGTGAAGACAGGCGCTGAAATGACTGGGGAAGAGGTTGTGTGGCACTTCTTACCAGGCTATCAGCACAGCTCTTAATGATTCAAATGTATCAGTGGGACTTAGTGACCTGTCAAAAGTGAGATGGTTTCTCGGTAGGCGATGATGAACGAAGGAGGTTGTTACAGTAAGAGTAACTCTGGAGTTGCACATCTGATATGATCTCACCAAAGAGAATGAATGAGCTTGAGTGTGTCTGAGCATGTGTGTGCATGCACATGTGTGTGCCTGTGGGCAAAACTAATATTTCCCTAATATCTGGCCTGGTTTTAGTACATCCTCAGGGGTGGAGAGAAGTATGGCTTTAATGCATCTGCATATCAACAGGCTTGACTCAGGGGTGGAGAGCCATTCATCTCCATATCACTGGGTAATTACGCGGGCTACTGAGAGCTAATGTGAACCTAAGAGGTTAAGGGAGGGCTGGTTGGCTTCTGCTAGAGCAGGAGAGAGAAAGGGCCCGGCCCGGCCCTGCAGTTTGTAAGAAATAAATGGGTTTTAAACTTTATTTCTCCTTTTGACTGCCTTTGGTTTTAGAGGTATTTTGCCCCGGGCTTTCCTCTCCCTGGACTTACAGGGCCATTATTTTATGGCCAGGCGGTTGCTTTTTCTTTTTTATTTGCCCATTTACAAACATTTCAGGTTCACAGTTTTCTCTTTTTTAATATCACTAGAGTCTCTGCTTATGTGTTTTGCACAAACCTAGATATTTTTCAAAGTCCTAAAGGTGGTGTATTCATTTTCCTACTCTCTAACTCGGTGAAATCCAGTGTCACCACCTCTTCTTCTTTCAAATAATATTCTGGTATCAAGACTTTCCTTTCTCAAGATAAAGTGATGAAGCTGAGGCTCCCAGAGCTTCAATAACTTTATTGGTCACATGATTGGTAAATGTGCTGGTCAAAGAAATGGACTTATTTTGGTTTTATTT